GAGGTACAAGGAAAAAGTCACCTTCTTCCGAATATTTGGATCACGAAATTGCAGCAATCTCTCAACCTCTGGTGCAAGATCACGAGCCATTTCCGCTGAACAAATGTTACCTAAAGCACAAAGTGCAAGTCCCACTATATACTGATTTGTGTGATTAAGATCTCTGTGATTCAGTTAAGGCTTTGCTATGACCCATTATTAATGTTTTTTCCTCATTTGCTTCCAGCAAGTACAAGATCATTATCAATAACAAATTTGTAAAGTGCAATGTAAATATCATGGAATACCAAAAAAAATGAAACATTAACTAGAAACTGGATACTGTTTCAAAGAATTGGTGACCAACATTAGAACTTCTTGTCTTTCATCAAGAAGTAACATGAGGCCAAGATAACCTATTCTTTTCTCTGGAAATCCAGGAGATGCTATCAACTTGAGGCATTCCATTTGACCAAAATGTGTGGGGTAACCAAGCATGTGGATGAACATTAGCTTAGCCAGATTCCGATGCCTATAGTCTTGATCATTTTCATTTATTGCAGCACGAATGGCAGCACATTCTTTTCTTACAACAGCACGTTCTTCTGCTGCAGTCTTGCAAGCACGAATGGCCCTAATCATGTCCCTACAAGTTGGGATATGATCCAGAAAATTAAAAGATCTTGATTTCAATTAAAATCTAACAGAAACCAAATACTAAAGATGTATCATCTTTGCAACTTGCATGAAAACCTGGAATACATACAGTGTATTTGACTTTGCCAACCAAAAGGAATTTTAAAATAAAAATTCAATCAGAAATGTAAAAAGAAAAACACACCAAAAGCTACACAAGAATATGCTGAAAATAAAATTCTGCTTTTGCTGGCAATAGTATACAAGGATTGTAATTTCAACTCTTTTATGTAATGTTTTAGTCAATGTTAGTATAGAAGGGGAGGACAAGAGATTCTCTCACTATTGACAAAGCAAATTGATAGAGTGTTCAAGGCATGGCACATTGCTCCCCTCCCAAAACCAACCAAGTGTGTAAAACAAGTTTCAAATCCATTCAGAAACTCAACATGGGGGCACACAATGCAACCAAAACCATAGGAATAGGATGCTAATTTGCAAATTCATTGCTTCTCCAGCTGAAATAATGCAAATAAAAATGTTCAGCTTTCTAGTTCTTAATTATTTTTGTTTTAACATTATATAAATCACAGATACATTAACAACCTAAACAACCGTTAACTCTGGATTTAAATCCATTATCCATCTGGTTGGTCATGGCACTTAAGATGGGCAGCTTCAGTGACATTCTGTAGACAAGGAAGACAAATAAAGATCTGTCTTATAACATGGGAGTCATGTACTCTCGTGATCCAGAACCTCATGAGCACCTTTCCACATCATTCAGTTGCTTACAATATTGCACTGTATGCTCAAGATTTTATCCTACCAACAAACTAAAGATACATTATATGTTAATTGTTCCAATGGTTTTACAACTATACAAAAGAACCTCTTAAGACGTGCAATGTTTATCTAAGTTTAGAACTTGACGCAAGAGTTCGATTTCAATATCTGATTCAGATACCATGAGCAAACCCCAACCCAGCTAAGCGCATCAAAACCAGTTATCAAGGAATTATTAACAAACATCACTGATTTTAGCTGAAAAATAATGCGAAATCGTGAACATAAAACTTAAAAGAGCAACAAATTCGAATAAAATAAAAATGCGGAGATGATTCAAGATTTTCCAAAACACAAAGCCCTACTTGGCTACAAAACCAGCACGAAGAAGGAGCATTTGAACGCATGGTGCCGGATGCGAGAGTGTGTGCGTGTGCAAGCACTTGATGTTGATCCAATTCGAGAACAGGCGAAGAAGATGAAGATTTAATTGCTTACCTCAAACGCGTCCCTGAAGAGAACGGGTTCATAATTGATGGTGATTGTGGCCGGTGAGAAGCTCAAATCGGATCCAATTGCGAAGGGAAGGAATCGGAAACGGAGATCAATCGGGTCACCGGAATCGGAGATCCGAATCGGGGAGGCGCTGAGAGATTCGGATCTGAAACAAAGGGAGTGTTCGCGTTATGTGTGTGTTGTGTGCGCGAGTTCTGTGAATTTCAGAGGAAACAATATAATACAACTCAACACCACCGCACCTTTTTCTTCCTTCCTTTCTTCCACTTTGCAACGATTTTACAATTTTAACGTTTCCGTCTCTGAAATTTCTGAGTAGAAATAAATGGAAATGAAATTAAAAAACCCAAATAATAAACAAATTAAATAACTAGGGACAGTTTCGTAAACTTTGCTGCATTTGCAAAAGTAAAAACTAAAAGACTCTATTGTATTGCTCTATGATAAATAAATAAATAAAAATATTTCCTCACTTGGGCATTAATTAATTATGTTGGAGAAGACTTTGTTCCAGTCACGAACTCAATTAATTTATAACTTTTTTAATTTTCAAACGTATTTTCAATTTATAAACCAAGTGTTAGAAAAGAGAAGATAGATGCTATCAAAAAAGAAAAGAGAGAGAGATACCTGGTACAGACCATTCACCTGAGTCTGATGTGATTTTTTATAATTTAATGGAAAATTATACGTTTGAAGGAAAAAAAAAATTAAAAGATATGATTCATGAGATGATAACTAAAAAAGAGATAAAAAAAAATTGGTGTAAGAATATGAGTTTTTTTAAAACAAATCGAGGTGACAGATGCTAAATAATAAAGATAGTAATTGAATATAATTTTTTTAAAAAATCATGTTATTATTTTTAAATTTTTAATTATTATTTATTTTAAATTTAATTCAATTTAACATGAAGTATTCTAGATTGAACTCGGTTTTTGTTTTTCATTCGTTTTGTTAAAAGACAATAAATAAATCTATTCTACGTACTTTTCACCAAAACTAGTAAACTTTTGAATATACAAAAATAGTAAAATGTAACTCCGAAAATAAAATTGTAGATAAATAAATTACCATTGTAATTTTATCGACATATTTTAGAAGTACAAGTAATGTATTGATTTTCATCGACTGAATATTCATGCACTGACTTTTAAGCTTAATTAATTTAAAATATAATTCAATCTAATAAAAATTATATTTTGAAATTTTTGTCTTCAATTTTTCTCATAGAGAGAGATATGTGTCGTGTGGGCATGAAAGTAAACCTCTAATTGAAACCAAATTTTGATTACACAAAAGTGAAACTTCAAACCCCATAATAATTGTATGTTCATCCGGAATTAAAAGTAATAAAATTTGACCCTTTTAAATGAAAGGAAACTGTCACAATGATTTGTTCACAATTGTTGATACTGTTTTAGTGAGATGTTATAACTCTTTAAAAAAAAAATTCTTATGTTTGGAGAAAAGAAAATGAAAATAATATTTATAGTAATAATTTTATTCTAAAGTTAATATTTTTCTCACCTTATATTGGGGAAAGAAAAAACCCACTCAAGACAACCAGAACTTAATAACAACCCCAAAATATGAAAAACTAATATAATAAGATCCATAATCAGCTCATTAAATATAGTCATAAATTTAGTACAACCAAAAATCCAGAGTCAACTATCAAAAGTATTCTTAAAATATTATAAGCTCAAATTAAGCTTTTATTCCAAGCTATTTCATTGCTGTCTGTAATAAGATTTGTATGAATTTCAGCAATTAACTTATCCAAAGCCTCTTCAGTTTTCTTTAAATAAGATTTCAGTCAATAAAATTATTTAAAAATTCAAGCCTGTGTCTGTGAAATTAGTTAAAATTTTATAATTGTCTAATTATTTGACTGAATTGAAGTTATTTAACAAAATTAACTGTTTATTTAGTTAAAATGTGTTAAACGATTAAAAATATATAATATTATAATTACATACCAATTTATTTATTTATTATTAATAAAATAAATATTTATTTATTTGTAATCAACTAGTTGATTGTTTAATTAAATGTTTATTAAATAAGCATTTAATTAAATAATCAATCAAAAATCCTCATATATATTTTTTAAGTTAGGATAAAAAGGATAAATAATTATTGATAATTAACTTTTAGAAGTTAAATACTGTTTTTTAAAAAATTTATTTATTTATTAAACAACTTCTCAACTTATTAAACAAAGTTAAGAAATTACCAAATTTTAAATAAAATATAAATTTATATTACTAAACGCACTCTAATAATCTCCAACATAAAAGTATTAACCATATAAATACCACTCTAATAGTTTGATGATCATGTAATAATTCAGAACTAAATTTATATAAATGATTTAGACATGAAAAAATGTTGAATTAACTTATTTGATGTGGATTCAACATTGCTTATTCTCTCAATTTATTAAGAAAACAAATAAACTACTTTGTAATTTAGATATAAAAAATGGTATTGGAACTACACTTAAAAAAATACAAGGTAAGTAATAAGTAGCAAATTGATTATCATAAATTGTCTCGGTAAGATCAAATTTAATTTTTCATTAAAAAAGTAAAGAAAATTTTGTCACAGTTTAAAAAACTACAAATATTCTCATTCATTTTTTGCAATTAATTAACATTTAATACACTTAAAAATAAAAACAAATCCTAACGCAACGAATTGTGTTTATTGTTTTGTATTAACTTATTTTTTCTTTTATTTCATTCAGCTTCCTTACTTTTTAAATTATTTATTTTCTTTTTCCTCTAAGTTATTTTGCATATTATTCTCTCTGAGTAGACTATATATATTTTATTTAATAATAAAGGTACATTGTAGAATATGTTATGAAACATATAATTATCATTTCTCAATATAACTTTATTTTCGTTGCGACATTTTTCATATCATCAATTCAACTCAATTTTTTATGTAAAAATTTGAGTAAGCGTATTTAAATAAAAACGTGATGAGTAGAGTTAGGAAATTTCTTCTTGCACCGCCGTGTTTCTATCCCTTCTCCCCCATTTTTTTTTCTTTTTTCTTTTTCTTGCGCACAATGAAGATAATTTATTTTTATTACTTCTGAAAATTATATTTTCAAATTGATTTGCTGGAATTTAATTTTTGAAGGGAAATTTAATACATTCTGAAAATTAAACTTCAACAGATAAATTACAAATTTAAATCGCATTAAAAACATAACTTATAAATCTATTTCAAAATGTACATTTTATAAAAGTTTTAAAATTAAAATTTCCAATAAAAGCAGGAAAGTATAAAAAATAAATCTCCATGAAGTTATCCCAGTCTAGAATCGGGCCCAGCCTCTTATATTCAACTATTTTTTGTTAACAGGATCGGATAATTGCATATCATTCCATTTTGTTTTTTTCATTATCTATCCTTACAACTTGAGACGACCTTGGGGGCCCAAAAAAGAAGGCCTTGAGGCTGATCATTTGTTTTAAACCCAACAGCCGTATTAACCCAAAAAAGCCCATCAGGGATGTTGACAAAAATAAACCAAGAGCCACATCCTGTATTCACCCGATCCACATTTCTCTGTGTATTTTTAATTTTTTTGGTATTCATTGTGCTTAGCCGATTCTCGTCGATGTATATTTCATAATAATTCAAAATTTGAAATCTTTGTATTTAATCTCATCTACTTTTCCAGAGATCATACCCCAAGGCATCTTTGATGCAAGAGACTGCAAAGCTTGGATTATTGGTTTAATTTCTCAAACATGCACTAAGTTAACTGCAAATGTTACTTACATACATTTTTCAAAGATGGTACAAATTGAAGAACTAGTTAAGCTTTGATCTGCTCTAAACATTTATATCAATTGTGTTTGATATCCTAGTGTTAAGTCTTATTCGCAGATGATTTTATAAAAAATATTAATTTAGTTGCACTTTTGGTCCTTATATTTTTAACGTATGTATGATTTTAGTCCCTTTATTCACATTTAATTTCTTTATTTTTATAAATGCTCAAATTAAGTTTTTCTTCCTAATTTGAGAGAGAGATAAATAACTCATTTTGAATATCAAACTAGAGAAAAAGATAAATACCATACTAATTTGAGAATGAAATTCAATATGTTTTATAATTAGTTTTAAACATAATTGATATTTGGATCAAATTAAGTCAATAAAAAATTATTTAAGACAATGTTAAGTATTGAGAAATTAATAATGCAAAATGTCATAATGTCACTCACGTGTAGTGGCTAGTGGGAGCTCCCAACATGTCATGTCGAGATCCACTTGAGTGGAAATTTAGTGTTGACACACTCCGGTGGTCACTCCCCTTACCAGCTTCCACCTTCAATTATTACCATCAATTATCAATTTATGACCCCCTTCAATTCTCTACATTCATTTGTCACAACTATTGTTTTTTAATTTCAATCACCGATAGCTGCTTTATTTTTAATTTAATATACATGGAAATTAAAAAGTGATCCATGGGCAACAACTTTAACCTTGGGACCCTTCATCCTTGTCAATCTACCTAGATTAAGAAATTCAGTTCAGGATTGATTTATTTATTGTAACTGTTCTGCATTTGGAAGAACTGCAAAAGGGTAAGTGAAACACTGATATCATCAAACACAAGTTCTGACATGCTCTAAGAGGAGGAGATTTTATTTGTCTAGAAGCATAACAAACATTAAAAGTTTGCATGGTACCCTACAAAGTACAATGATCTAATGTTTATACTTCTAGAGGAAGAAAAACTCTTAACATGTCACAACTTTCAGATTGAAGCTGGGACAAAGGGAAAAAATAAAGCATATAATTTATCTATATTGAATGGCAGAGAACTTCTGCTTGACATTTAAACATCATCAGAAGGAAAATTATCGAGCTAAAATTTCTTGATCTCATCCTCAAATTATGGCCAAAGCGACCAACAATTTGGCAAAACTGATTGAACAATTAATATTTTGATGATCAGCTCCTCTTTACAAGGATTCCACTGTTTCAAAGAAATCATTACACTTCGTGAACTTGGTTTCATCCCCATCCTCCCTTCTCTAATTAAAGCTTGGATAGGGGATTCATTACTCCTAATCTTTCTGATTGTATATATACCTAGTACTTGTGGATATAACCCATAGAACTGATTCGAGACCGAATATCGTGATGATCATAGAGAGATTGACCATAATCCACGGGCTTGATAACTACAGTTTCTTGCTTCCCATCCTGCTCCTGCACTGCCCCAAATAATATCTCATTGGTTTCCTCGTGGCTTTGCTCATAGTAAGTGTGAGGGATTGATGAATGATACTGGTGACGATGATGATGTTTAAGTTGTTGTTGTTGCTGCTGCTGAAGATCTCCATCCCATCCACTATAGAATGCTCGACCTTGCCACAGTTGTTGCATTTTTTCTGCGTCCTTGAACATGAAAGGATATGTTTTTCGAGGTGTTGGGGTTCTTGTGTCAATAGAAGGGGGCTCATCTTCATCTGGAATCACAAAACTTTCTTGCACAGGCCAAGCATGTACTTGTTTTTGAGGTTGCCGGAATATCGGTTGGCTTTGAAATTCATAGCTCTGTGGTTTTCTTCTGAAACCAGGAAATAATCCTCCCATTATTTCCACTATTGATGCCCAAGCATTGGTAAGAAGCTTCCCAAAGGATCCAAAGAAACCTTCTTCTTGCTTATCAAATTCATCTTCTGATGGAATTAAAGGAGGCCTGACAGACCTCACTGGCTTTTGATATGGACTTGGTGAAATGCCAGAGATTGCTGGACCCTCAGGCTACATAAGCATGAGATGAATTAGTGACTGAAGTTTTCTAATATATTCAGAAATCCTTTTAAGGAACCATAAATTATCCAGTTTTAAAGAAGAAAGCATGAGTTTAACTGCACATGCGCAGTTAAAAAATTGAATTTTATTTGAAACCATAGCATAACATAAAATGAGAGCTTTCCTTGCATGTAGCTATCAACAGAAGTGACAAATTTATTTTTATTGAAAGACTTGAGAACGTTGTACTTTCCAAAATAACTCCAGCTATCAACTGCATATAAATTTTTTTATTCTATCAATGGAGAATCATTCATATTTAATTATGACCAATTTATTTGTAATGTCTTTATTTCATCTGATTTAACGTATGCAGGAGGGTAAAGACAACACAAGGCACTCACATCCTGAGATGCTACAATTGTACCAAGTCTACGCTGCAATAGTGCCAACATATAACCAAAGAAGCCAGCCCCAACAAGCATTGCAATGCCTGCAAATTGACGGTACTCAATCTTAATTTTTAATTAAAAGAATTTCTAAAGACTCTGGATTGATTTAGTTTACCAAGTGGAAATCCACTTCCATATTGATAAGCACAATCATCGAAGTGGAGTTGGATCTCCCTGATGGCTTGGTTACCCCTGTCTATGACAAGTAGGGAACAACTACTTCCAACATAAACCACGTCAAAGTCATTAGAAAATTTAGCCTCTTCACTTGGACCATCAACATGGCCCCCTCCACGACTATATTTTCCTCCGGCAATTGTTGTGACACCTGGAAATAGAAACAATAATTCAATAAAAAGTTTCCAACTATTCTAATGTGAGAAGTAAAAAATGGATCTCAAGGGGGAGAGGAGAACAATGGATTGTTCAGAGCATAACAATGTTTACCTGAATCACTAATTTTTCTAATTGCCATATTCATTATATCAGCAACATAGATATTTCCCCTGTCATCAACCGTTATCCCCTTCGGGTGATTCATCCTAGCCTCCCTAAGCCTTCCATCAACATGTCCAGAATATCCTTCAGCAGATCCTGCCACCAGCCTCGGTCTGCTATCTGCAGAATTGCAATGCACATTTTATTATTGAAATGTAGGACATATACAAATTCAAATGCAAATGAGATCAAATGTGGCCGAGAAATTATATTTAAAAGAAAACAGCAACATAATTAAAGTGTGATACATCTTCATAAAGCTCACAAACAGGAACTAGAGTGACACGATATCATACTTAGCACATTGCACATTACTTCAGTTAGTTCTTTGTGATTCTTCAATACGAAAAGCGGTTGAGCAGGGGGAGACACAATTCCGCTAATAAGAAATAACATTTTGTCATCTTTAACAAGAATTACATGGCAACTATATCATATGCTTTAGTCTCAGACAGTAATGAACTTCAAGTTCAACAAAAAAAAAAACTAGAACGAATGCGACCTAGTATGACCGGTCTAAAAGGATTCAAATTTGACTTTTGCAAGAAATACTGAGCAGAATGTTGTGGTGAGGTAGTAAGCAAAATGTCACAACTTTCCACTATCAAAAGAACACAAGTTGAGTAGCTCATAATTTCCAAAGTCAGAGGAATTCCAATTCCAAGAAAGACTTAGTCCATGGTGACAACAGTGAAGGCATAAGAAAGTCAAGAAGCTAGATATGCTAATTTCCTCTCCCCCCCCCCCCCCCCCCCCCAAAAAAAAAAAAAAAAAGATTGAATAATGGCAATGAGTCAATCAGATCATAGTTTAAGCTACCAGTCCACCACATTGGCACACTTACACAAAGAAAGTGAAGAAGAAATCCTATAAATGTTACTATTAGCCGAATCCAAAATCAGAAGCTCCCCATTATGCAACACCTCAACTGCATAAGGCTCTATTCCAAGCTTGCTTCCATCAAACACGGTTTCCACAGTGTACCCACTCTCAAACTTCATCATCGACTTCCCACCAATCGCTGCAACATTCCAATTCCAATTAACCCAAAAATTCCAAATTAAAAAAAAATGCAAAAGCAGCATTGTGATAGATCTATACCCGTTTTGGTGGGTGCTTTAAGCGACCACACCCATTTGGTGAAAGCAGGCATAGCATTTGAGATAAACCCACTAACAATCTCTGAAGAAAGAGACAAATTTTGAGTTAAAAAGAATAAATTGGATGAAACTAAAGTGGAAATATAACACAGAGGAGACTTACTTGCAGGTGAAGTAGTGGATGGCGCGGCTAAGACAGTGTGAAGAAGAAGCAAAAGGGTGAGACCCAACACGAAATGGAGCTTACCCATTGATCCTAGAGCGTAATGAAGCACCCCAGAGAGGTTTCTGCAGCTGGGAATGCAGGCTCAGAAAGCTCTAGATCATGAAACTTCAAGCTGAAAGAAAGAGATTTTTTGTGTGTGTGTGGGCACTGGGATGTTTGTTAGCAGAAACCGAAACAGTGGGTTGTGAGTGAGTGTGAAAATGAATTGAATGGAAAAGAGAAGAGAAAAAAGGTAAAAGAGACAAGAAAAAAGAAATGGAAAAAGGAAGAGGGAGTAGTGGGCCAGTGGATGTGGAGAGAATCATGAACCGCCATTATTGTCTAACTGGAATGAATTCTCATAGGTATCTGTTCATATTCATGGTTAAAAGTTACTTATTTATTTAGGATATCATGTCATCATGGTAGCGAGTAGTACTAAAAATTAAGACTTGCTTATTTTAAAGATAGAATTACATTATCATAAGTATTTTAGATGTTATTTTTTTAAATTAAAATTGAAATTATATCTTAATTGTTTATATAATAAATAGTTAATATATATTATGGAAGTAAAATTTTAAGTCTCATCAAAGAATATTATCATAAAATTTTATAATACTTCAATTAAATAATTTTTTATTTTAAAAATTACAAAATCAACTTTTGTGCTTTTCGATAAAAAATTATTTTTAATTAAAATATTATGTGATTTAAATTAATATATACACGTATTAATTACATTTAATCATTTAAAATTATTTTTATTCAACTTTACATAAAACCAACCAACATTCAATACTTTCTCTTACCCAATTTTAGTTATTAACACTGAAAAAAATATTATATGATTTAAGACTATCACATCATGTGATCTTAATCAATTAAAAAATATAAGAAAAGTTATTATATGATATGAGATTATTCTTGTCATAATTCTGATTAATTAAAAAATAATAATTACTATATTTTAAACTAAAATATAAATTAATAAAAAGTTAACTATGTATTATTTTATAATTTGTAGAGACTATAGACATAGTAATATCTTACCATGCAATAATTTCTCATTAACACTGCAAAGTTTCAGATTTGTTTCTTTGGCCAAATGACTATTGAAGGTAGGGAAATTCTTCAATAATTGAGATAAAATTAAAAGGAAAGAATTCATCATTCATTAAAATGACGGCGTAAATGATTTACGGGACACACTAAAAAGAGGTATCAGAGTGCTTTTCCTATCCATCCCATGAAGTACTTAGATAAAAATAAAATAAACACAGTGAATGAGTGAAATAGGTAGAATGATTAACTGATCATAATCACAATCATAGACTCTGTGAAATATGGTTGCAATAATTTCAATTTTGTATGAAACAATTGTAGCACTCTATTTTAACAACAACAATAAAAGTTAAAGTTTATAATAATTTTCAAATACTATTTTTTCTATTATTTAAGCAAATATGCTATAAGTGGCACAATGAATAATATATATCGATAGCATCTTTCTTAAATTGTAGAAGCTGAAACCGTGAATTTACTACCAGTTTTTTTCCCATTGAATTATGTTGAATATTTGCTTCTTTGATATATCAAAATAGAGCATGGACCCAAAAAGAAAAGAAAAATAGGATCAGGCATCAGTAATGATACCCTCACTCATAGGTATTATTTTTTCATATAATGTAACAAATTATATTATTATAGCTTCTACAATAACCTTTTTCATAAATGAATTGTTCTGTGGTCCAGACCAATATGCAGAAGCAACAATGAACAAGATGTTTCATCCTTGTCCATCATTGCTTTTGCTCCTGCTTTTAGTCATGACTAGTACTGGTGGTAACCAAATAATCACAAGGGCAAAGAATGATTAGCATTATGATTATTTTGTGGAATCAACAAGTATTAGTTATTACTATCAAAATTCCTCTCTATCTTTTTTCTCAGGGTACAGTCACCAATGCAAGTATTAGTAATGCTCATGGACTGAACAAGTAGCCAAAATCCAAGAATCATGATGACTTTCAAGACCAAACTGCATTAGCCAATGATGTTGGCCATTTATATGTACATGTATGAGATTGAGCAAGCTGGCAATTATGTCATGCCACGTGATGAGATTGTTGCCTAGCATTGCTATTGCCTTCAAGTGGTGCTTGAATTATTCAAGATCAGATTGAACATTTTATAATAAATATATATAATCTTCCCAAAGGAAGAAGGTAAATAGTGACAGTGCAGGACAAATGTGGCCAATTTTCTATTCCTCTCTGAGACAAACAACAAAACAGTCTCACTCTGACTCTCTCCTAATGCAATTTCAGGAAAACAGAAAGATGTCATTATGAACTAGCTGGAAGACAAAAAAAAAACAAGTTTGTTTACATATTGTATGTAACAGGTTAATTGTTACAGTTTCTATCTTCTCCCAAATTCCATGAGCTAGCTGGGGACATTTTGCTCCTCTGTTTGGAAACATTTCCAAGTGTTAAAAAACATTCAATTCTTCATTGTAAGTAGCCTCAGATGGAGTCGTACAATGCCAATCAGGTTAGAAGCATTAACTCATCATCTATAGCTAGTACATTCCACCTTTATTTTGTTTTTTGTTCATGCACTCGTCGCATATTCGTATGTTGTATTGATTGATGCTTATTTTAACCTTATTAACTATAACTTTTATGTCGAATTTAGATTTATGATTTGTTAACATATTTTTTAAACATACACTTAATGTGCAGAGTCAGTGAATGTTAAAATAATCATGCCATGAATCAATGTGCTAGGAGCATTTTGAGAAGAAAAAAAAAAAACTTGCTACATACATGCACAATTTTTGTTGCATTTTATTCTTTTAAAACTTATACTGGTGCTATTAGTCAATAGGAAAAATACACTAGATTAAAAAAAACCACATTAATGTAAGAAGGGGCATCTTAGAAATAATAATAATAAGTAATATGTTCATTCGAAATCAGTAACAGAGTCCCCTACCTGCCAGTGCAATAGATTTGTCTTATTGCTCAGTGTCATTTTGTGATGACTATTATGAACAAACTATTCGACACTTTTTGGGATTCCCTATGCTTTGCTTGGATTTCAACAACGAGGTGATATATATAAGATGGGTTAATGCATTAAAATGTTCTGCTTACTGTTTATTAGCTCAGGTTAGTATACTATTTTTTATAAAAACTGAATTAATTATATCATCATTGTGAGATATGAAATAATGATTTATATTATATTAATAGAATTATTCATTAGTATAATGCACCATATTTTTTTATATAAATTAAGCCTTTTGAGATTTTCATAAAGGGAATGGGTTAATTATAATAATATATATATATATAAATAATTCATTTAAAAAGTCATTTTCCTCCATTATGCATGTATAAAAAAAGTCGGTGGATTTTCTCAAAGAAGAAAGAAAGGAAGAATTTGAGCCTTTTAATTAAGGTGATAGTTAAAGACTGGTTGTGGTGCATGATGGTTACCATTTACCAAACTTTGGCCTGTGGGTGGCAGGCAAAGAATTTGCAATTGTTTGGCTTCTGGTAGGGAAGAATTTTAGTTGTGTTCCAATGCAAAAGCATTTAATAATCAAATATATCAAGCTATTCGGCAATATTTTTAAATGGTATTTAATAATGAATTATATATTATTATTCTTAAATCTTTGCATAAGAAAATACTACCTCCAATTCTTTTTATAGGAAATAAAATAGAGTATTTTTTTTTATCTTATAATAAAAAATAAAGTATAGATTCAAAATACATTAATTACTAAATTTTTTTTATATCTTTTTTTTATTAGTATCATTAAATATATAAATTACTAATTACACTATTTAATATCATAGTGTTTTTAGAATAAAATTTATATTTATAAAAAAATAACTGACTTAATTGTTTTCTTTGATTACAGTTATTTAGTTTTTTGTTTCCTATAAAAAAGACTGAAAGTAGAAAAATAATTTTTTGCTATATTTATTTTTAATAATAAAAATAAAAATATTAATATTAATATGAGTATATAATTATTGTAATGACTGATATAATATATCAAATTATATCATTTTTTCACCCTTATTTTTTCTAGAGTAAATGGACATGATATTGCAAGGTGCCCCTAGTTCAATGCAAACAGCTATGTGGTCCACCATTCTAAGCACAAATTCAAACAATTGATGTTACTTTACACACGAGAAGAATAGAAATGGTCTCGTTAAGAGTATTCTAAAAGAATGTCACTTCTATTTCTATTTGTTTATCTACAAGCAGGACAATAAATTTAATTTATATATATAAATTTAAATAATATTAATTATTTTGTATTATTATCTTTTTATTTGTATAAAATATTTTAAGAACACTAATAAATGTCCTCAAAATATTAATAAATAATGAAAACAGAAAAATATTTTATTTCAAAACTTAAAAATATCTCATATCTGTGACCTTCAATACTTTCTAAAGTAATATCAATTAAAAAAAAAATTCTTCGTTGATTTAACCAATGTCCTGAGTTACTATAACAAGACCCAAATATTTATTCTATTTAAGTAATTAATAAACGATAAATTAAAATTTTTAACAATTAATTTTGACAAAATATTAGATTTCTAGTCCTGTGCAATTCAGGCTTGTTTGTGTATTGTTAGACTAATGAATTCTTACACTTTTCTAGGTATAATACACATTTTAACAAAAATCAAATTAATTTATGTTCACATTTTAAAAATATTTAACCGTGCAACATTTTTTTTTAATAAAATTAATTTTACTCAACTTTAAATTAAACAGAGTCATCTTTCTCTTGATAAAGAAATAGAAATAGAAATAATACTTATCAAAGAATATCCAGTACATTTAATTAATTGTTTTTCAAAATTTTAAAAAATATATTTAATTTTTTTAATAAATTAAAATTTCCTTTTTATTAACTATACGTTTGTTTTCTCTATTTATTTTCTCCTTATCACATAAATAAAATAAAGCTTCCATAAACATGCAAATCATTTTAGGTGCAGTGAAACCAAAGAATAACAGCAAGATGCCACTCTATGTCAGGTTAAGAGTAACCAATCATTCCCTTATTCAGAGACAAAGAATCAATTAACAGTGATGCATTGTTTTGTTCCCAACTCAAACTTTGCTCTCAAAAGAAACATTCAATTGGGCTTTGGATAGCCGAGGCCTTCACTGTTGCTTCAGCTTTTGACCCATTAAACAGTGCAAGTTTTGATGGGCATGAAATTGCTGAGAGAAAATATCTGTAATACAAATTTTTAATGTATTTTTTATTAATATTTGAAATTTATTAAAAAATATAAATTGTAAATATCAATTTTAATTTAACTATCCTTTCTTATAATTTTATATTTTTTAAAATTTTTAATTAATAGCATAAAATATAATGAAAAAGTATATTAAAAAAGAACACATTACTAGCCCTCCTCACGTGTTGAATATGCTCTCAAACATGTCTCAAACATGGTGCCTTTTATCCTTTATGATTGTTTTTGGTTTTTATCTCTTAGCCTCTGTACTTATATTAAAAATCGTTGTTTATGATTTTTGAATTTAATATTTTTATATATTTGTTTAAAAAAAACACTGTATTTTAATATATATTATCTTTAAAACATATTTAAAATAATTAACCACCAACAATAATAGCCACTGCCAGTCGTCCCATTTCACAGCAACTGCCGTAAACAATTTCATTTTCCATTTTTTCACTCAATCAAACTGTAGAAATGGATTGAAATGAATCAACTTTGCTCTTCTAAATTTTAAACGACTTAATTAATAAAAATAAACAATAAAAAGAACACAAAAGAGCTCAATATCAGAAAAATATTCATCATAAACTATTGAAGTAATCCAAATGCAATCTTTTACTCTCTTCACATATAGGTCTGGACAAAACTTTCCCATCTAATCCAGTAAGAAAAATCTGATCCCAAAGACGAAAAGAAAATGATATTTTGCATGTTAGGCTTGAGAATCCTTACCCCAGGCCTAGTTGATTTCGACTATACGAAAGATAGGTCTGTGCCTTCTTTCATAGCTTAGCAGACTTCAAATTTCTTCACATGCAAAAATGCCACTCCTATTCCCCTTTTCCAATCTTTAGTCCCTCACCCTAGACCATAAAAGAAAAAGAAAGGTATAGTTTTTAGTGACGAAACAAACTCTTTTTGGTCAACAGACAAAAAAAACTAAATGGGGGAACAAACCTACATGGGCTTCACATTGAATATGGGCCGCATTTTCTTTTCCTCCATTATTCTTTGAATATCGGTAATGACGTTGACAAAAAAGAAAAAAGAACATCAGTAATGACTAGCTGAAGATTATCCAGATTCCACAAACGTTTCCATAGGTGCGTATGTGCTGAGAACTGAGATTCCCAACCATTCATTACTAAACTTTTTACTTTTTAATACGTTAGAATATAGTCGGAGTAAAGCATCTTCGATTGAAGAGTTCCTATTTAGTTCCTCGTTCGAGCGTTGTGGATGTTCCTGAAAATACTAACTGATTTTAATTATAATATTAAGTTTAGGAATTTATTATTAGATTTAAAGCATAATCCTAGGGGCTAATTTAATAATTACGCCTAGGTTGAAGCAAAAGATCTCAAAACAGATTGCCATTATGTATAGTTAAGAAAAATAGTGTAACTGTACAAGTTATTGATGCCCCTTGTTCAATGCAAACAACTATATGGTCTACAATTCTACAACTACAGCTATAGGTGGCACCAGCAAATACAACAATTGACGTAACCAAGTACGTGAGAAGAATTGTCAGCTCATTCATGAACCGCATTACTGATTACTGAACCCAAAAGAAAAATGCTTCCGGAAGCCATGCAAAATGCATAGAGCCATATCTGCAACAGCAAGATCCCACATCATGTCAGGTCAGGATCAAGAACCTAACATTCCCAGATTCAGAGGCGACGAATCCTCCCAAATAGACAAGCACAAGGAGCCAATAACGATGTCTTGCCCTGTCCCACAACTCAAACAGTGCTCTCAAAAGAAATTTGGAATTGGGCTAGATGCCTGCGCTTTGGATTAGATGAAGCACTAAGGCCTTTCAGCAACTTCATCACATCGGCAGGATCATCAAGGTAATATTTGGCTTTACTAGGTTTCTGACCAACAGTGCAGGCAAAGACGTCTGGAAGTACTGGCAATGATGGGCATGAAACTGTCCGTAATATGCTCTCAAACATGTCTTCATCAGAAATATCATCTCCAACGCACATAAAAAAATCTGGTGGATTGCCACCATTAACCATAGTGGAAAGAATCTTTTCAGCTACCACGCCCTTGCTTATTCCCTGCAGAGAGTAAATCAAAACTCTGATAAGTTCAATCCAGCTAATGAGATTGGCATGGACATAAATAGAGGAAGTTGACAAGGAGGAATTAAAACAACTGTACCTGCGGCTTGACTTCAACAATATGCTGTCCCCTTGAAACAACAGCAGGTTCATTAGCAAGCACACTTTCCAGATGATTCAACAATTCTTTGGCTTGGCAAGAACCAAAATCAGGGTCTGCATCTTGATGATGCCACACCAAAGCACTTTCCTTAGTTTCAATATTAGATCCATCAGTGGCCTCTGTATACAACTGCATGACAGGTTCCACAATCTTCTTCCAATCAAGATCAGCAGACAAGTGACTGGTTTCCCATTCAGAATCTTTATTCCACCTGCAACCAGAAAAAAAAAAAAAAAGAGCGGCACTATTTTTTTGCTTTGCAAGGGAAAGGAAGGGGCGTGGGGAATACAAAGTAAATGGAGCCCAAATCTTCCTAATAATTAAAAACGCACCTTAAAAAGTATCCATGTTCAGCTGCAAGGCCAATCATTTTGCATGACGTAAACCAATCACTTAAAGAATTTCTTCCCCTTCCACTAACAATGAACACAGTATTTTTAGTATCATTACTCAGATCATTAAGCACAGATATGACTTCAGAGCTGGGGGTTTTATTTATAGAAGATTTTGGTACAATAGTACCGTCATAATCCAGAAATATGGCTCTTCTACTGGTTCTTTTGTATGCTGAGACAATGTGGTCAACGGACAATTTTCTAAAACAAGGAGAAAGAGAAACAACTCTGAACCCTAGCCCCAAACCCATTCCCCAACACCTTTTGATGTAATGATCTTTACACGCTCTCTCTAAATCCTGAATAAAGCTGCGTGCCCAATATGCAACATCATGAGAACTGATGTATCGGTAGTGTTTCTCATGTCTCAATTGCTTCTCTGAATCCTGCATAGTAATAGCTGAATACAGAGCATCAGCCACTGCATCTATGTTCCAGGGATTGACCCTGATTGCTCCACTTAGAGAAGGAGAACAACCAATGAACTCAGACACAACAAGCATGCTGGTACGAGGAGAATCACTTTTTCTAATCAAAGCTTTGTCCAGCTGTGCAGTTCCTTCTCTACAAACAATATATTTGTATGGGACTAAGTTCATACCATCCCTCACAGCATTGACAATGCAACATTCTGCCACAGCATAATAGGCACTCTTCTCAAAACGAGGAACAGGACGGTCAATGAGAATAACTGGCCGATAATGGTTAGAACCATAAGTATCATTAATCCTCCCAGCGATTAAATATGTTTCCTTCTTTGCTTCATGAACATCCTTGCCTGAGCCCCTTGCAGGATTCACAATCTGAACAAGGACAACTTTGCCCTGCAAATCTGGATTCTGCTGCAGCAGCTGCTCAACAGCTAGAAGCTTCAGACTAATGCCCTTAAAGATATCCATGTCATCAACACCAAGAATCACCTTCCTACCCTTAAACTCTTCCTGAATCTCTTTCAATTTAGCAGATGTAGATTGGAGATTTAATACAGATTCAAGCCGACCCATATGAATGCCCACAGGCAAAATTTTGATAAATATAGTACGGCCAAAGTAATCAAGTCCTATATGTCCGCGTTTAGATTCATAGTCAAGACCTAGCATTCTTTTGCAGCAAGAGAGGAAGTGACGAGCATAATCAAATGTATGAAAACCAATTAAATCAGAATTCAACAACCCCCTCAAAATTCCATCCCTTACTGGCAAAGTTCGGTAAATTTCAGATGAAGGGAAAGGACTGTGAAGAAAGAATCCTAGTTTAACTCGATTATACCGCTTCCTCAAGAATGTAGGCAAAACCATCAAATGATAGTCATGAACCCAAACAAAATCATCATCAGGATTGATTATTTCCATAACCTTGTCTGCAAATATTTTGTTTGCAGAAACATAGGCCTGCCAAAGCAAGCGGTCAAAACGATCACCATGATCAGGGCACATAGGTAGCATGTAATGAAAGAGAGGCCAGAGCTGCTGTTTGCAAAAACCAAGATAAAATTTTTTCTGGAGATCATGGGGTAGAAAGGTAGGTATGCAATTAAAGTCCTCCAGTAATTTCTGAGCAACTTCTTCCTGCTCACTGGCATCTATATCAACCTTGAGGGATCCCACATAAATCACCTCAGTGTCAGAAGAAAAACCATCTTTTAATTGTAACAAAATTGAATCCTCATCCAAACTGAAACACCATTTAGCAGTGTCGATGTCTCTTTTAGCCTGCAATGGCAACATGTTTGCTACAATGATTTTCCTCTCCCGACAACCAGAAGAGCTAACATCTGAATCCCCATCACATCTACCATAAACATCCAGGTCAGAAATAACTCCAGGAACTGTCATAATCCTTGGAATAGTTCTTGGGGTGTGAGGAATATCCAGTAAACCTCCAGCTAGCTCCAGTAGATTAGCATATGATCTTGATGCCATGAATGATCCAAGGAGAACTTCTCTTTGATGCCCTCCTTTTTAATGCTCTTCTTTCTATCAATTCCCACCCTAAAAAATGGTTGATAAATAAATTATTGGAAGAAAAAACATATTTTAATCAGCATCTTACAAATAACATATCATTGAACAACTAAAAAATGACAAGACGTCATGCATTATACAAAATGTTAACAGATAATTACGAATATTCTTGCTTGTGATTCTTTCCAGGCACAATTGCTAGCTTGATTCTAAGAGTTTATAAAGGCGCTCAGACATATTACTTTAACAATAGCAAGTAGCAAAACTTTTTTTTTTTTTATTAAAAAATATTTAGTGAACGGTTCATTGATGCAACCTAAACCTCAAATTTCCAGAGTTCAATTATTGCTACACAATACAGAGGCAGAGCATAAGATATTCTCCACAAAACTATGATAATCAAGATATTTCAGACCAGGGAATACTGAAAATAAACATCAGAAGTTGCTTCACAATAATCAGGCTAGAATGACTGATATCTCTGATAAATGGATCTTCTGATTAAACAGTTTGGATAGCTTGAGAATGGGCATTATCATTGCCATAAACAAGACAAAATTGTTCCATGAGCAACTAGCAGCCTCTAGGTAACATTTATTTCCCTACTCCAATAGAAAACTAAAAGCCACTGAACAGCGAAATAACTTTATTTGTGAATCCTGGAATGTATGTCCAAAAATAAAAGTTAAACCATGGACAACATTAATTACATAAATGATGTAACTTTTCTGCTAGATAGAGAGGCATCCTGACTTCACTAGCCCCAGAAAGGGAATATCATCAGAACAAGAATCAAACTGCGTACACTACCCGCGCATATAAACACAATTATAGGATCTCATTAGTACTGAGACTAGAAACCAATTTTTGGACTCAAAACTCAGAATTCTGTTAAGGCAAGTAAGGAGAGAACATAAATGAAGTGGCTTTAAACGGGAAATTTCAATTCTGTTAATAACATATCTCTTCTGTTTAAATGTAAATCTCATATCATGAATCAGATGGATTGACTTTGCCTGCCTTATCAATAGGCATGCCTTCACACTAAAACCAAATAATAGTAATACATAGATCCTATTCCCCACAGGTTGCTGACACTGTTGCTTATGCACTTATCTTGCAGAATTGACTCCAAAGTTGAAACACCAAAGCGCATACAATTATCAATGGGTAACATGTAAGAACCACTTCAAATTTTGAGACTTCAATCGAGTTTAAAACACGTTTGAAATTCAGAAGACCCTAAAATGACCATAACCGGGTACCCCATGATCCCGGATGACAAAAAACAACACAACTACACAAGTAATAATACATATCTGGTCCAAAAATTAAACCAAAATACTTTGGTTGAGATTCTATTAAACCCAAAAATGCTCTATTCGAGACAAAAGCTTGTCGATATAGAAACAAAGAGACAAATTGAAAGTTGACGGAAGCAACACAAAGCACCCCTCTTGAAACACAACTCAGAACTGAATTAAGCTCAAGAAAATCAAATCAAATCAAGTCAAAATAAAAACAAAATTCACTCGTGCTTGTTTACCAAAAAAATAAATAAATTCAAGAACAAAATAAGCTTATCTTCATACAATAAAATATTATCCATCAAACAACCACATAATAATAATAATAATAATAATAATAATAATAATAATAATAATAATATTATTATTATTATTATAGAAAAACGAGGTTTGAACATAGAAACCGGTGGATACTCGCACCTCAAACAAATTTATGCTATCAGTCACCACACTACCAGATTTCAACGCTGTTCAATCATCAATTTCCTGCCAAAACATTAAAATAATAATAATAATAATAATAATAATAATAATAATAATAATAAAGACCATAAACCAAAAATTGAAACAATAAAGTATTAAAAAACGCGAACTATGAGGAACAAATACGTGTTTGACTCTGCGGAAGAAACTGAAAGTGTTAAAGAGAACATAAAAAACCAAAAGAAGATTCAATTCATAGCACAAATTTGAGACCTAGAAGAAAGGAACGGAGTGAAGCAGCCAAGGATGGATCACCTTGACGGCCACGGAGACGGCGAGGAATTTGACGGCGAGTTACAGTTGCGGAATAGGGAGTAATCTGAGTGACAAAAATGGATTGGAGAGTGCGTTAGAAAGAAGTCGGAGGGAGAGAGAGAAACGGAGTTATGGTTTGGGGAGTGAAGGAAAGAGCAGAATGTAAACAGCTAATATTTTATATCACGGGGTCACTGTTCAACTACAACTTCAGTGGATAGAGTTTCCTTTTTTTAATATCAATATTATATATTCCTATTTGTTGGTTTTTTCATGTCTATGTCAAAATTACTATCGATCGCAAGCTTTACTGTACTGCATTTTGCCGCACTTGAATGAATTCCTTTTCCATAATTCTGAATTGACTGCTTTACCCCTTGTCTTTTATTTCTCTTCCATAAAAATGGATTAGCTTATGAAGAGTTCCTATGTCGTTTTTTTTTTTTTTACTTGAGTTATATATCTGAATGTGGTAAATTTATTACTAAAATTTTTTTATATACAAAAATTTAAATTTAAAATTTTGTTTAAATAATACTAAGCCGTTTATTACTTTAACTAACTTCTATTAGTTCTATGTCATATTTTTATAGACACATAATGAAAAAATAAAAAATATTTTATTTCATAAAAACTATATTAATATTATTAATGTCTTATATATTACAGTATTTTATCAATTTTCAAAAAAATTGTTATAAATAAATTTTATCAATATTATTATACATATGTTAAAATTTTAGTTATTTATCAAAAATATTTATTTAAATTTAATACTTTCAAAATTTATCTATATGTACATAATAAAACATTTTATTTATAAATATTTAATAATTATATACATTTTTTAATTAATTAAAATATATCACAAATATAATTTTTATATTAAATTTTTTGAAAAAATCTTACTGACATGAGTAATGATATAAAAAAACTTACACCAGCAGCATATTTTACAATAATATCTATATATGTACTATTGTCATGCTCGGTCAAAATATATCAACGATATTTTGTTTTTTTTTTATAATTTTAAAAAAAATTATATTTTTCTTGTTTTTTAAAATATTAAATAACAAAATGTATATATTTGTCATCTTAAAATTATAAAAAAACATATAATAATTAAAAAATTTATAAGCATAGAAAATAAGATGATTAAATTATTTTTTTCTTAACTCAAAGAGTGATTACAGTAAACTAAATATTTAATATACAATTAAAAATATTTTTTTAATATTTTTGAAACTTTATCTTTATTATTTGCATAATAAAAATTAATATTAAAATTTAACACATTAATATTAAATATCAATATATTTTGTCAAATAAAAATTTTAAATTTAATAAAAAATAATAATATTTAATAATACATTTAAATTTTATGTTTTTTTTATTTGTAACTTGTTATTGCTACTATCTTCAACAGAATTGTTATTATTATTAAATATAATAATATTATTATTATGTCAATTTTTATTTTTATTTCTCATCTATTTTGATTCAGACATAGATGTGGTGAATAAATTTATTATTAGAGATTTTTTATATAGACTCAAACTTGAAACTTTACTTAAATAATATTAAGCTACTTACTATTTAGACTAACCTTAGTTGTGTCACTTTTTTTATTATTATATTATTGTTTCAGTATTATTAATTATTATTATTATTATTATCCCACTTATCATCATCATTATTTTTTAATTTATTTAAGCTTAACACAATCCTTATGCATAAATAATTCTTATTAGTAATATTAAATATAATTCAACTTAAAGTTACATTTGTATACTCTAGTTCTCCAAATAACCTAAATATAAGAATTACAATTTAATAGTACTAAAATTTAAATTTAGATTTAATGTTTTGAGAAAATTTTAAAAGAAATTATATTAAATTAATTTTTAAATAGGAATTAAAAATAACAAAGGAAAATTCAAAGGAAAAAAAGACTTCAGAAATTTAATGAAAAATAATTTTTTTTAATTTTAAACTTGTTGAAGGCAAACTCTTCAATCTTTCCTTAGGTATATATGTAAATAATTTTGTCTCTATTATTAAAAAAAATGATTTTGATATTTCTTTGGGTAATATGGTAATTTAATTGTTTGAAAACGAAAGAGGCAGGAATAATACAAAAGATCTGTCAAATTAAATGATCGTTCATCTGCGTTATTATCAATAAGTTTGGTTGAAATCATCTCATTCTAAGTTTCAACTACGTTCATGTAAATCTATATATATATATATATATATATATATAAGAAAAGAAAAACATCAACAACAACACCTACTCCTATCCAGTTGATACAACATTTTTATATGATAACATTATCCATCATTCGTGTCCATTTAATTTAATATATATACTTATTTTCTATGCAGCTTGCATTGGCCCTCTTGATTAATTATTATACTGTTTAACCTACTAAAACAAACCAAAAATATTTGTCAAATTCATAGAAGGGGCAGATATTGTTTATAAATACATTATTATCATAGCATTTTAAAGAGTAATTATTGTTTTAAAATATGTAATAAAAATCTTATCCATTAATTTATTAAAATATAATAAAAATATAACATATCATTGATATATATATATATAAAAGTTTGAATTAAATTTTATCTTTTATTTATTATTTTAATTAAATAATTAATTTTTTTATTAATTTATATAAATTAATAATATATCACAGCTTTATTATATATTTGTTAATTATAGAATGAGATTTTGACGTTAGAAGCATAATTTAAACATTTAAAAAATAAACACAAATAACTAAAATTAAAAAAAATAACTACATATAAATTAAAGTAAAAGTTAAAATTACAATTAAACATATATACCTCAGTTAGTAATCAATCGTTGTTAATTAGCCTAATATGGTATTGATTGTAAAGCGATTACTGTGAGTTCCGTTTTACAAAAGGTAAAATATCCTATGCAATTTACACAGTCAATAACAATGAATGTGTATCGAGAAAAGTATATTTTTTATAATTTTTAAAAAATTACATTTATTAGTTAATTACTGCAACCGTATATGCTGAGCTTTAGATTAGTTCTGTTTTATACATTGAGTGCATTTAAAAAAAATAATTCGACAATAAAATGTCTGATATTAGAAATATAATAATGATGATGACTAAATTATTAAAATATTTAATTTTTTACTTTAATAAATTGTAACAAAAATAAATTTAAAATTTAGAAGTACTTTTTATGATCTCTTTTTAATTTGGCCTTATGAATGACCTTTCGATTTTACAAATATGAAACATAGTAAGAGTCTCCTGTTGTTTTCAGCTAAACAACTCCCCCTTCTATTATTAAGATACAGATGAGCAATCTGGTTTTGCAAATTAATGTCTTTATCATAGCAACAAATCTTTAACTATTTAACTACCTTAAATAGTTTATTTTCAAGTTCATTAATATAAATTGAATTGGAATATAATATTTAATGTTATTTGGTATCCTATTATTGAACAGTGATAAAGTTAAATTTAAATTGAAGGTGATGAGGTGGGAGGAAGTAAATGCCAGCTAGGTAAAAAGAGAGAGGAAAACGTAAGCGTTTGGATATTGGAAATTGAACAGTGTTGATAGAGAAGGTGGAAAGCGGAGGTACATAACATATGTGAATCGTGGAGCGTGAGAAGCTGAGTCAGCTTCACACTGCACGCTTCTGCTCCCCAAAATGCACCACTTTTGACTTGCCCTTTTGGATAAGCATATCATATTCCCATATACCATACGCCATTTAAATTAATAGCCACTAACATTTTCCCACTTTCCAACTCAAATGGAATTTCCTTATTAGCTTTACTTTACACAAAGTGCCCCTCCCAACTTTTCCCTAATCACCATTTCTCCACGTTACTCAAATTGATGGACTACCATGCTGCCACTGATGTCAAGCCTCTAGTTGTGCACCAAAAGCAAAACATAAACCATAGTTAATAGTTAATCACTTCATTCTAGAAAGCTAATCCGGTTGCTAGTTAACACAACTGAACCAGATTACCTATAAGTTGACTGCGATGATAAAAATTGTTATTGTTTTTTATAATGATGTCACTGATATTTAAATATATTATTTTATGTAAATTGTTGATTTTCTTATCACTGATTTAATTTTATTGCATAAATATTTAGTTTGCAAAAAGATTAGAACAACTGTAATTTATAAACACTCAGATAATATTAATATTTAAGATTACATCGCATTGTTTGTTATAACTATTTTTTTCTTCTGGTTTATATCTTTTAGGTAGAAATATCTTAAAGGGTGTGTCCATCAAAAAATTTAAAAAAAACGACTTACTTATAATAATCCAATTATAGTTGAAAAAATCAGGGCCATTCAATATGATATCACATCACATCATTTTGTAACTATTCCCTGTGAAAAAACCATAGAATGCTCGACTCTTACCGTTTTCCACGTCCCGGCAAGTACACTACCCACAGATGCACGCGCGTCAAGGTGGCACGCTCACACGCACGGCGTGACAGTGAAACAGTACGGATGGATTCGCACGTGCCAGATGACAAAACTAGGTGGGGCCCATTACATGTGGACGGGTCCCGCTAGTGTGAGTCGCGTGGCGACCACGTGAATGCGATGCCTCAGTGGTAGTTTTGAAGGAGGGTGTGGATCCCGTCTTATCCGGTCGCCGCGTTTCGCGGAAATTAAAAAAAATTAAAGAAAAAGGTCGGTTGAGTTGGGAGAGAGGCCTCTCTGCATCATGAAAATGATAATCATTTTTTTTTCACGCATGATTAAAAATATATATTAAAAAATTAATAAAAAATATTTTTTAATTTATAATATTTAATACTGTTTATATATTAGATTATGTATTTTTAATAAATAATTATTATATATAATTTTGTGCAGAACGTAATGTGATGGCTTATCTTTTATAATACCTTCTTTTTTTATTTTAAAATAAAGCAATATAATCCCTTTCGGTTCTTGTAAACGTTATTTTATTTCATTAATTTTCACTGTTTGACGACATTATAATAATAATGGGAAATAAAATGTACAATTTTTTTCATAAAAAAGTAAAATGAATTATAAATTTGGTTTATATAAAGATTTTTAAAAAAATATCAATCGTAGCAACTAAATTTGGAATTTTAGACAATTAACAATTTAGAATTTCACAGAAAAATGTAAAATAAAGTAGGGGTAAGAATAATT